TCACAGCTGTACCCCCCCCCCCATCGGAGTCTGGCCCTGGCCCTGGCCCCAGCCCTTTACCTGCCAGTGCCACCTGAAGGCCCACCGGATGGTGCCAGCACAGCGGGCAACCAGGTAGACCAGTGTGAGCATCGCTGCCCAGCCCTGTCCCCCAGCACAGCTCCAGGTGGGGGGCGGGGGGACCCACTGCCCAGGCAGGCCTGCCCCCCGGGGAGCTGGTGCTGGAATGTTCTGGCACCATAGTCCCAGGAGGTGGAGAGGGCGCCTGAGGGAGGGGCCGCTGGCCGGTGTCTCGGGCCCTGTTCTCACAGAGAACAAGGAGGGGCTGACTTATACAACGGCTCTCGAGTCCCACCCCTAGGCCCTGCCCCACCCCTGTCCCCCCAAATCTCATAGCTCTGGCCTCAAGGTCTTCCAGGAAAATGCCTGCACTGCCTGGCCAGTCAGGGACACGCCCTGCTGCTTAGGCACCAGCTGACCAGGGGCCGCCGCCGGGGGGTTCCGGGGGGTGGCCGGACCATCCAACGCGGGCTTTGTAAACAGCAAGGGCCTTGTCCATTGTCTTCACCGGGTAGGTGCCCATCACCCCCACCCCGCCCTCTCCGCGAGGTGACACTGGGCGGTGGGGGGTGCTGTTCCTCTAAAACGCCTGGGGTGTGGACCACTTAGAATGGAGACTCACAGGGGTGCAGCGCTGGGCCCAGGAATCTGACCTCCAGCCAGGGCGGGGCTGGCCGTGGGCGGCGGAGCACAGCCAGCAGCTATTCGCTAAGTCAGCAGGAACTGGGCCCACGCGGATGCCCAGCCTCTGGTTGGGGTTCTCAAGCTCCCAGTTTCCCACCTGGCCCCGCTGCTCAGAACTGCTGCTGGACGTGCAGCCACGGTGGGGGCAGCCATGGGCTTGCTAGACGGGGGAACCGCATTCCAAGGGGTGCCCCTCGGCCTCTGTTCTTAGGAGGAGGCTCACCCCATGACCACGGCTGCGAACTTTGCCCTGCGGAGGGCGGCCCTAGAAAGGGTGGGTGGTCAGTGGAAGCCCCGCACCCAGCCACACTGGCAGTGTCCAGGGCCATACAACCCTCCTCATTCCGGCTGGCCAGGTGGTTTGGGTGCCAGGAAGCATGTCTCCCCTTCTCCCCCCACCCCTGGAAGTTAGGGGCTCTGGGCCCCTCCCACACCAGCTCAGGAGCCCCGGTGGCCCCTGCAAGGCCCACTCTCACCGCCCTGCAGGCCCAGCCTGTGCCCAGCCCATGGAGGCCTGACCCTGAGCTGGGACAGAATACCATGAAGCCATGACCTCAGGGAGGGGACCCAAAATGAGGCCGGCCCGGTCCCTGAGGGCCCCAGGCCTCTGCTGGCAGCATCCCCAGAGGAAGGACTGTGGGATCCCAGGCCCCGGTCTATAGGGTCCCCAGGTGGCCCAGGAGATCCCGTGCACAGCCCCTGGGACCCCCGGCCTCACCTTGAACCCGATGCCGCCCTTCTTACAGCACAGACAGGCCAGCATGAGGGCGATGACAGTGAAGAGGCCTGAGAAGGACACGGCCACCACGGCCAGGGAGGACGACCAGGAGAGCTCGCTGAGCGGGGCGCCGTCTGCTGAGGGAGAGAGCGGTCAGGGGGCCTCTGCAGCCAGCCCCCCCAGGCACCCACGCCCCCCATCAACACCCACTCTCCCGGGTGCCTCAGGGACCAGCATGCCCCTGTCCCAGCCTCCCCAGTCCTCAACTCCTGGTCCAGCCTCAGCACCGGCACCCTTGCTCGGGGACCTCACACCCGGAGCAAGCGCACACGTGGGTCCTGCAGGAGCCCGAGCCTGCAGTCCCTCAGCCGGCCACTAGGTGCCACTCTGGCCTCACCTGGGGCGTGGGGTTAGCAAGGCGGCCAGAGCCTGCCCACCTCCCCATTGTGGGGGTTCATGGACACCCTTCCTCAAGGTCAGGGCCCAGGGCTGTGGAGGACCCCCTCCACATCTCTCTCAGACTCTGGTCACCCCGCCTCCCCCTCTGGAGCCTGCCCCGGAGGCTACCCTTGCCAAAGCTCCGGGGATGTCACTGGGAAAAGCTGTGAGACCCCAAGTGGACAGGGGGACTCGGCCCCACTAAGTGGGGGACACTGTGAGGCTGGCTGATGGCCACACACCAGGCTCTGGGCAGCTGGGGGTCAGGGCTGTGAGACATAAGGCCTGTCTGGCCCTTGAGGCAGGGGGACCCTGCTGTCCCCAGAAGGTGGCACTGTGCTGGCCTGGCATTTCCAAGCCGCCCCCTTGCTGAACTGTCCTGGGGACAGTAGGGGCCCCCTCCCACAGCACCTGGTCCATGCGAGGCCCCCATGGCTGACCCTCACTAGATGGGGAAACTGAGGTGCCCAGGACAGCACAACAGGATCCCCCAACACAAGCACGGCCACCTAAATTAGGACTCCAAGCTGCCCCCACTCCACAGCTGAGCCAGTGAGCCAGAGCTTTGGGGAAGCTCGGCCCTGTGGTGCCCCCAGGATGGCCTGGTAGGACTGGCGAGGCGTCCCCCAGAGATAGGAGGGCCAGCACCTCCTGTCTTGCCACTCCGGCCCAATGTGCCCCCCCCACTCCACGGGCTTTCTCCTGTCTGCCGGCCCCCAGATCTCTGCCCACTGAGCACCCCCCGCCTCTTAGCTCCCAACGGCGGATCCCTCAAGACCCATCTCCAGACACAGCAACAAGAAAGGGTTAAATAATCACAATGGCAGATCTACCCCAGGGGCCGAAACAGTGGCTTTAAGAAGATTTTTCACCCTCCTGCGCTGCTGGGGGGACTGGGACCTGGGGCAGTCACTGTGGAAAACTGTGGAGGCTCCTTGGGAAATTAAAAACAGAGCTGCTGTATAACCCAGCAATTCCACTTCTGGGTATTTACCCAAAGAAATCCAAAACTTAATCAGAAAAGACATGCACCCCTATGTTCACTGCAGCGCCATTTACAATAGTCAAGCTACGCAAGCAACCCAAGTGCCCACCAACAGACGAGCGGACAAACATGTGGGACATTTATGCGATGGAACATTACTTGGTCGTAAAAAGGAGTGAAATTTTACCATTTGTGACATCATGGAGGGACCTAGAGAGTATTATGCTAATAAACACATCAGGCAGGGAAAGACAAATACCGTATGATTTCACTTCTATGTGGAATCTAAACAACAAAATTGAAAAACATAGAACAGAGTCGTAGATACAGAGCACAGGCTGCTGGCTGCCAGAGCAGAGGGGGGTTGAGGGACTGGGTGAAAAAGGGGAAGGGCAGTCAGAAGCCATTTAGAGGGA